TAGGCCGTTCCAATGCCTGATTACCCTCTCTGTAAAGAATTTCTTCCTAACATCTAACCTAAACCTCCCCTGGCAGAGCTTGAGCCCATGTCCCCTTGTCCTATTGTTGGTTGCCTGGGAGAAGAGACCAACCCCCACCTGGCTATAACCTCCCTTCAGGTAGTTGAAGAGAGTGATGAGGTCACCTCTAAGCCTTCTCCTCTCCAGACTAAACAACCCCAGCTCCCTCAGCCTCTCCTCATAGGACTTGTGCTCAAGTCCCTTCACCAGCCTCGTTGCTCTTCTCTGGACCCGCTCCAGCACCTCAATATCCTTCCTGAACTGAGGGGCCCAGAGCTGAACACAATACTCCAGGTGTGGCCTCATCAACGCAGAGTACAGGGGAAGGATCACTGCCCTGCTCCTGCTGGCCACACTGTTCTTGATCCAGGCCAGGATGCCATTGGCCTTCTTGGCCATCTGGGCACACTCTGGCTCATATTCAGCCTCCTGTCCATCAGCACCCCCAGGTCCCTTTCTGCCTGGCTGCTCTCCAGCCACTCTGTGCCCAGCCTGTAGCGCTGCAGGGGGTTGTTGTGGCCAAAGTGCAGGACCCAGCACTTGGCCTTGTTGAACTTCATCCCATTGGAGTCAGCCCATCTCTCCAGTCTATCCAGATCCCTCTGCAGAGCCCTCCTGCCTTCCAGCAGGTCGACACTCCCTCCCAACTTGGTGTCATCTGCAAATTTGCTGATGATGGACTCAATCCCCTCATCTAAATCATTGATAAAGATGTTAAACAGGACTAGTCCCAGCACTGATCCCTGGGGAACACCACTGGCCACCAGTTGGATGCAGCCCCGTTCACCAGCACTCTCTGGGCCCGGCCCTCGAGCCAGTTCCTGACCCAGCACAGAGTGCCCCTGTCCAAGCCATGGGCTGCCAGCTTTTCCAGGAGTATATTATGGGAGACAGTGTCAAAGGCTTTGCTGAAGTCCAGATAGAACACATCCACAGCCTTTCCCTCATCCACCAGGTATAAAGATATTTGTGAAATAACTTTCCTCTTGACACTGCAGGTTTCACTTCAGACAGTAGAGCTTAATGCAAGATTGTAAGAACTTTTGAACATGCTTATGATAATGCTTACTAATAAATACATTTTTATTTCTTCTGATAAGGACATTGTATCTTATTACTGCTTTTAAGAGAAGAACAGAAATCTCCTTAGATATTGTGATTCCTGGAACAGTGATGAACCATTTCATCAAAAAGATCAGCCCATGTGATGATGCTGTCATAAAGCCTGACATCACTGCTCTTGGCTAGATCGCTCCCCTTCTCTTCAAATAATACTGATTTCAGCAGCAGTATTTGAAGAGGAAAGAGGGTGCCTCCCAGTAGGAGATTGGGTGGTGCAACCTGGCCTGTAATCCTTTACTGTGAGGTTGCTGGGGTGCAGGTGAAGGGAGGAAGAGCATCTACTTCAGATAAAGAATATTATTGCAGTAGTCATATTAACATTGGAAATAACATTTTAGTGAACTGTAGGGTACACTGTAGTACATGGCTAGAGACACTGGAATGAAGTGAAGCTCATTCCATTTGGATTTCTTCCATCTAATTTTATTTTCCAAAGCCTACATCCGTTCTTGGACAAAGAGGATAATCTAGACAGAGCTGAATTAAGTTGTAGCCTCTGACTGCAGGGCTTGCTCTTATGGCTGGCTCTTTTTCAGGGCACAGAAATGAAACAGGAAACTCCTTGTGTCCTGCTGTGTTGTACATATGCACATGGACCTGTCCTCATTTCACTTTTTTAAATATTTGTTTCTTTTAGTATGTGAATATTGTGTAACTCTATTACTTTTTGTTTTCTTCCAGAATGTTCTAATTGTGGAGGTAAGCTGGGTGCTTATGTCATATTGTACTTAGATAGAGTCACATAGTCAAGTCGTGACAGGGTGTTCAGTTTCTGAAGCCTGTCTGTGTTTACACTTCTTTAGCTGGGAGGTGGTGAAGAGGGAGAGGGCTTGATTTGCTTAATAGCCTCTCAGTCTTTTTGCAATTGCATGACGGATCAAACTGCATTGCTGTCACTCTAATTAGAGCTCAGCCTTGTGATACCCAGGAGTCTTTGTTTCTGCATTATTTGATTTGTTATTTCTGTGGTTTCATCTGCTCATGTTCTGCAAGTTGTTCTGTTCCTTGGAGGACAGTGAATCAACTGCAGTGATGCCCTGCACTTCTCAGGTGCGTGACTTTGAAATAGTAACCCTGCACATGCTTTACAGCTTCAGGGTTGTTCACAGTCTGGTTGGGAGTGTCAGTCATTCCCTCAAGTCCCATCCCCGGCTCCTGCATCCAACTCTCCATCCAGCAGTGTTCCCTGGGGGATGGCCCATCACAGAGCTGTTGCGGGTCAACAACAGTGTTCAGTTGTAGAGGAAAGAATGTATCACCTCACTGGTGCTTCAAATTCTCATATAATTAATATAGGTGATTCTCTATGAAAATGTTGAATAAGCAACTGGTACAGTTAGAGAGAACATCAGGATCTGCCTGGCATTTCAGACCCAGTCTGTGGGATGTAAGCTGGACAGTGTAATGGAGGAACTGTATGACGTTGGAATGCCTTCTCTTAGCAAAGGGAAAAAAGTCATCAGCCACAGAGATGGCTGGTTACCCGAACAGCTGCTAGGAGCTCTATATTTATTAATTCTAACTACTGTAACAGAAATTAAAAATGTTCGAAGAAAATTTTGTTAATGCTATTAGACAGCTGGGGAGCAGAAGCGAGGTGTTGATAATGAAAAATCCACACCCACAGAGTTCAGGAACAGCTGCTCTCCATGTCATGGCCAATTTTGTAGCCAGGTACCTACTGATCTCACTGAGGTGATGTTGGGTATGGCAGCTCTGGAGAAAACACATTTGTACTGGACTAAGAAAACAACAAATAGGGTAGAGTTAGTCCTGACATGGAGAGATGTTGACATACTGTGATCTTGACCATAATATGAAAAGTGTAGTCCCTGCATCCTTGCAGACCCCAGTAAAGTCATCTCCAGTCCCATGTTACATCCCAAATACTTGCAACATAGCTGTTTTCAAGAGGAAATGGACAGTCCTTGAACTGATTATTTTATGAATAGAAAGTTCTTGCTTCAAAGAGTGTAAGCTCAGTTATAACCTTTTTTTTTATGTGGCTTACAATGCACTGGGAAAAATAAATCATCTCCACAAAAATAAAAAGGTGGAACTGCTCAGTTATTGTCCAGATTTCCTCTTCTTAGCTTTTCTTTGTGTTTTACTTACTCTGTTTTTCATGTTTCATAAGGATATTGTTGGAACTGGAAGGACCATGAAGGTTCTGCTTAAGACTATAGAAAAATACAAGCCAAAAATGATTAAAGTGGCAAGGTGAGTAAAACAATCACAAAATAGTAATTAATCAGCCTAGTCCAACCTATTTTCAGTAGAGGTTTTCATTCTGAGATCCTGCTTTAATTCGATGCTGCACTCTTGCGTGGGGAGCTGTGCAGAGGAGCTGCCTGAGTCACTAAGGGGAGGGTGGGGGAAAGGAGAGGAAATGCTTTTGTATTGTTCTGCAGTGACAATGACCCTCCAGCCATTTCAAGGCTGGCACTGATGGACTTGGAAGGGGAACACACCCACCTCTTCCCTGCCATCAGGACGTTGTCAGGAAGAGAAGCAGAACGAGAGCAGGGATTCTCATGGCTCAAAAGTTTTTTGATAAGGGGAAGAGTTTTTATACATATTATTCACTTACATATCTAGATTTAAAAGGGGTTTATTTTATTTTTAATTACAGTTTGTTGGTGAAAAGAACATCTCGGCCTGACGGATACAGACCAGATTGTAAGTGTTGTTGTGAAAGTCTGTACATGACAGTAGAAGTAGTAACCACTACTCTTATCACTTACCTTTCATATCATTCTGTGGACTGCTAGAAGCATTGAAAAGTATCAGTTGCCAATGGGACTATAGGATTCAGTGGAAGGATTTGTGTAATTATGGTTTGGAAAGCCTAGCCTCCTTATGTTTTCTGCAGAGTACTAACTTTATAGGGAAACTATGGAAGGGTTTTATTTTATCCGTGAAAAGTGAGTGTTATATCGTCTGTCTCTGACAAACTATATAGAAGAGAATGTGCTTTTCTTCTTTTTCCTTCCTCTTGCATCTCTTTGGAGGAGCTGCAGGATTCCATCTGAACATGAAAGATGTTTTATAATATAGGTATTTGCAAGTTTTAAATTTTTTTAATCATCATAACACTTTTAATTAATTTTTTGAAGAGTATTTTTTAAAGGGTAAATACTGTTATTATAATTAAATCCCGCCCCCCTAAAAAGCAAAAGAGAAATTGGGCTTTTTAAACTTCCTCCTGCTGCTCTGTTTGTGTTACACCAGCACTTCTTCCCTCTGAATTATTGGTCCTTGTACTATATACTATACTTATACTATACTATATTGGTCCTTATACTCTTATATATAGACTTATTTAGAATAAATGATGTAATAACAGGTATGTGGCTAAATAGGAAAAGAATAGAGCCATCTAGAAGAGATCAACCAGTATTTGCTACTGAAGAAGGCTCTGGTCAGCTGAGTTGGGGAGGAGGGTAGAAGGAAAGTAGGCAGGTGAGTACCAGGAGGCAGCATGAAAGGTCTGGATTTGAGATGTGGGAGAGAGGGAAACTTTATGAAGCAAAAGTTACTTAAATGTTGAGCATAGCCCTGAAGTTCTGGCCCAGTAATACGAACTATGACCCAAAAATTTTGTTGTACAACTTTTTATACAGTGGAGCGGTATTTTTAACATTTAGAATTTAATCCAGTAAATTAAGGTATATATTTAACTGGACTCATTGATGATAAATGTATAAAAAAGGCAGTAAAATTACTTCATGAATTGTAGCATGTAGTAACTTGTAAAATGAAACAGGTTTTATACTTGTTTATTCAAACTGTGATGAATTTTGTTAAGCATCAGAGATCTCTTCTGTAAATCACTGATAGTACTGTCTCATTTCCTCACTTACCCAAATTTACAGTTCCCAAGTGTCTATTACCCCCTTTTTTTACCAACTGAATAAATTCCTTACTTGAATAGCTGTAAAATTTTTATATGGACCTATTTTTGTGTGTCTGGGTTTTTCTCTAGTTACTTAGTGAACAATTTGGAAAAAGTCTAACTTGTTTTATGTAGTGCTGATACTGCGTAGACCTTCACACTCAAGCAGATGCATGACTGTGCTTAGCTTCAGGTGTGTGAGATGTATAATTCACTTACACTGCATGCATTTATTTTGTTAATCGTGTGCATGAATCTTCATAAGGGTTGGGGCTTTAATTTAAGAAACATTTGATGTGTTTTGGTAGCATAATATGTAAAATTGTTTTTGCTGTTCTCAGCAGAACAATATCTAGATCTCTGAAAGTTACTTCTGGTTTAAAATTGTACATTTTTGCATCATTGCCGTGATACTGGACAGTTGTCATCACACATATGCCAATAGAGCTTCCAAACACAAGCAGAATTTTCCAGCTCTGATTTTGGCTTCCTTCCACAATGTGCCAGTGATAATTGTACACAACTCTCCACTCTCCTCCTACTGTTCACCTCCCTGTCACAAATACTCTACGACTGGGAACTATTTATGGGTCTGCTGCTGACCTTGATGTCTCAGAGTCAAAAGTAGCATAACCTCAACTGACTACATATATGTAGAGTTTGGTTGTTGAGAACCAACACATGAACTAAGGGCTTATAGTTGCCACTGATCTTGTATTGATGGTGTTTGTTATTTGTCTCAATACAGATTACGGATTTGAAATTCCAGATTTATTTGTGGTAGGTTATGCCTTAGACTACAACGAGCACTTCAGAGATCTAAATGTAAGTTTCTTATAAAAAAAGTTATTTAAAAGTCGCTGGTTTACTTTTACCATATTTATTCCCATAAATACCCCATAATTTACCTCCTCCTTTCAACCCTGAGGAGGTTATATCTTTGACATGGTTGGGATTTGGGATCCTTAGAGTGAGTGCAAAACTCCCTGCAAAGCCTCAAATGATAGAAAGGAGTCCCTGCTCAGCACTGTGAAAGTTCCTTCCCATCTCTTTCCCTTAAGAGCAGAAGTCACACCTCTGCTATAATTCCACCTTAGGTGAGCCTAGGACTCAGGTCCACCATTCCCAGTAAATGCAGAGACAGCCACAGGTCAGACAGGTTGTCTGAATGCTGTGTTTCCTGCCCCTTTTCTCAGAGAGGTAAGGATGGAAAAAAGGTACAAACCTTGCCTTTGCTTCTTGTGGTACTCCCAGCGGTGGACCTCAAAGCTGGGAATTCCAAGAGGAAAAACTTGCTGTAGCTAGAAAGTGAAATCAGAATTCACTTCTGGATCTCTGGAAAGAGTAATTGTAAGATCACTAGATTGGCCAAGCCAAAGTATTTCTGAAAAATGAAATAATAATCCGTAATGTAATCAACTATGCTTTTGCAATCAGTGTTCTATTTTTTTCAGCATATATGTGTTATCAATGATCATGGCAAAGCAAAATACAGAGTCTGAAGCAGTAACATCAACACCTGAATATATGAAGCAGAATTTGAAGCAGAAATTTGACTACACTCCCTCAAGCATTTCCCAGAAGAGTGATTCAACCAACTCGTGTGTCTTTCAACTCAGTATAATAAGGGGGTTACTCTAGAGATTAATATTAATACTGATTAATATTTAGAGAAACGAGAGCTCTTATCTAAAATGTGAAGTATAGGGCTTTTAAAGTTACTACCTTTTTTTAAGTATTAAAGTAATCACATAAGATACCTTTTGACTAATAACTTGTCTGCCTCAGGTCTCATTGCGAATGTATTGTTTTGTTCAGTCCATCGTTCCACCCACTGCAATTCATGCACTTCACAGTATTGCATGAGATCATTCAAAAGTGCCATTCTGTACATGAAGATTATTGTAGAGGATTTTATTGACTTCACCATCCCTTTAGTCTTGGTCAGATATGCTGCTGCTAAATTGAACGCATTATTTTGATTTAATTCCACAATTCAGAAGTTTCAGCTGAAGCTGTGTGTTGTGTTGCAGTTCATTGCTGCCTCTTCCAAACAAAGCTGTAGCACTCGGAATGCACTGAATTAGAGTGTGGGTCAAAATGAACCCTTGCAATACACTGTTGATCTGAAGCTGGGAGATATCTGGTTCTAGTATATCATGTAGACATTGATCTAACCTGTTAAATGTGCTGAATTTTAATCAAAACAAAACAATGCCAGGTGAGTTTGAATTTCTGCATGGTATCCCTTACTCCTATAGGACACAAACAAGTATAAAAATTAACAGTATCCTGTGCTTATATTCTTCATTAAACTTCATTAAGCACAAAAATTTACTGCTACTCAGACAGTTATTCAGTTATGATTTGATTTTTGTAGCATGTCCAAGTTGAGACTTTTTGTAACCATTTGTTGTCTTCAAGAATAGAGATCTGACAACTCTGGAGAAGACTTGTGTAGAAAAAAAATTAAATAAATGTATAGGAAAACAGAAAAACAGGTAATGCATGAGTGCTGTAGACTATAGAGGTTCCTTCCTTTCTTTATACATCAGGTTTGAAGAAGATTGTGAATTTACACGCTGCATTAACTGCAAGACGTTTAATTCTGTATTGAATGTAACTGTTCTTAACTTCCCGAGAGAAACCAGTGCAACGTAAGGGGCTGTGTATCAGTAGCTTTGCTCTGAAATGTGAGAGGCAGATTGTTATTAGCTGCTATGAACTAATAAAGAAACATTAAGAACACTTGTTACATTGCACAGTTGGTTTTTTTCCTGCTTCAGCATATTTCACACAGCCCCTAAAACTTTTTAAAAAGTGCATTTAACTGGTAAACATACCTTATGTATGTATCCTGTGACTCATGAGCTGTTGTTATTTGGATAAAATCCATGATGTTAAGGGAACAAAAAAGATCAAAGATTTATTGTGATTGCTAGAGAAATGCTTTAGCCCTCTCTTCTCCTTTTACCTATATTTTAGAAGAGTTCTGTTGAAAGGCTTTCCTTCAGAGTAACTTTTTTCTGTTTTAGAGAAGAATGCATACTCATACAGCCCCTGGAAGAAGCAGCTGAAGAGTGTCATCCCTTTTCTTTCATGAGAGTTTTAAAGTTTTTCTTAATGTTTCTGACTGGATTTTGTGGTAATGTCCCATTGTGTAGACTGACATGCTTAGGCTTAATCCAGGACATCCATTAGGTTATTTTCTCTTTTTCCTCTTTTCTTAAAAAGTCACAATCCAGTTTGCCTTGCTATGATGATCGGTCTTCAGCAACAATAACAAAAATGTAGCAAGTGAATTTATGTAAAATTAATGTGAAAATATGAAGTACTATGTGAAATTATGAAGATGCACGTAAGTCAGTGTTAAAATTGTTAAATGGTTAAAACAATAATTTTTTTTAAAATTGTTTAATTGGAAGATTGCTATTATTAAAATCTACATACTTAATAGAAAAGACCAGATTTTTAGAAAACATAAGAACTGGAATGTTTATTCAAATTAATTCCATTTCCTCCTGTCATCATATTTTTAACATTATGAAAAAGCACCATACAGATCTCACTAGTGAATCTGCATGTGCAGTTTTACTGTGAATAAAGGGGGTTTTCTATTCTAATGTCATATTTGAATTTTGTACCTTCATGTGTCTGAGCATGTCCAGGTATCTCAGCTGCCATCCACGTTACTCTTTGCTTGAAGCTCTTCCATCTGAAAAATTAATTTTCAATTACTTTACAATCAGATTCCAGGATAGCATTAGTGTAGCTGAGGGAACAGGTAATCATAATCATGCATGTATGTCTGATCAGTATTGACTTGAGTCTCTTTGGTGTGCCCAGAGAGTTTACTGTCTCATGTTTCGATAGTAGTGCTGGTTCTATTCTTTCATTAAAAGGCCACTAAACATTTTTTCAGTTGTGGTTACACTCTATGATCCACAAAGCTATGTTTGGGGTTTTTTAATCAGCTCAGCAACATCTGTTGCTTAAAAGGAGAGGATATTCTTTAAAATCCATTGATTCCCTTGGGCATTGTGTTTATGTATTGTGGGGGCTTCCGTTTTTATCTCAGTTTTTCTTCTTATGCATTTAACACAAACATTCTTTCCCTACCTGTTGAATATCAATTAGCATGGACAGTAATTTGGTTTAAAATCATGTAAATGTTTAGCAGCCATGAGGTTTTAGACTTTATTCAGCCCGTTCATGCTTACACTTGGCCCCATTCCAAAATATCCGAAAGTGATTTCCTGGAGAGAAAGTCAAAGTAGGAAGAATAATTCCTTCAGCTTGGTTAACTGAATATAAATTAGGATTTCACGTTGCAAACCATAGACATGGTCTGAATATCTGATAGTTTGTGCTTAAAAAATAGAATTGAAATAGTTTAAAAGGTCTGTAATTAAGATATTTTTCAATTGAATTAGCTGCTGCATTCTTGTAGTTAGAGCTGAACAAAGTAGAAAATAGTGTCTGGATGTTTGATTGCTTACTATTTATATTTCCTGACCATGTTATGTTAATCCTCAATGTTTTATTAATAACTTCTATAATGTAAAATTCCAACATTTCCACTCAAAATACAATACTAACTATGTGATATTCAGCTAGAGAACAGTTTCTGATCTGTGAAAGAGTCAAGTCATCACAGTTTAAACACAGTAAAATGCCTAACTTGGAGATGTACTTGTGTCTTGAGGCATCGTTATTGCTCTGTGGTGAGAATAGGATTTATTTAAATACAATAATGGTGGGAATTCTAAATTTTAATATTTCTTTATACTGAGAAAGAAAAGGCTGAATCTGCATATGCAGGCTTCTCTGCATATTTTGCATTTCGATTTTCTCAGATAACATAGCAGTGAAAACCCCTGTTGTAATCAAACTTAGACATGCAAACTGTAATTAATTCTTGAAAAACTTGAAAAACTATATTGAAAACTTTAATTTTCAGTTAAAAATGAGAGTCTCAAAAGAAAACCATTACAGGGTTCTGTAGCAAGAGAAAGAGGGATCATTGCCCTTTTGTAAAACCATCATATTTGAAGATGTTTTTCACTTCTTTTACCTTCTTAAATGTTTTCCAAAACCTCTGATAGTCTATATATAAAGATCTGAAATGAATGTAGTATCTCAGCATACTGGAAAAGGTATCTTAGATTCTTTTTCTCCTTAAATTGGAGGGAGAAATGTACACATAAAAGTTAATGTAGGTGTGTGTTAGTTCAGTTTTCCAGAAGTTAGCTCTGCCTGTACCCTCCAGATGACTAAAGAGGCTGAGTCAGTCTCCTCCTGTGCTTATATCAGTGCCCCCTTTTGAAATCTCACAGTGGGAGAAGCAGTGTGTCAGGGGCTTTACTCATCCTCTCAAAAAATCGAAAATAAAGCAGAGAGAAAACAAAAGCTTTCATCCTAATTCCATACAGTTTTCACAATTACTTGCTTAATGCCACATGCCTTCCTCCTGGAAGGCAGCCACGTGCAGCTATCCCAGCACCTGAGCTGAGAGTGTTTGTACCACTAGGGAATGGCTGCTGTGCTTGCCAGGGATATTCAGAGCAGTGACAGCACTGCAGCAACACTCGGCCGACTAGAAAGGTTTGATCACAAGCCATAAACTTGGGATTATTTTGTAGCGTTAAAAGGATAATGATTTGTTAAGAAAGAGCAATATTGTGCACTTACAAATGGTGAGAAGGGGAAGACAGCCCAAGTAGAGAAGGCAGCGCTAACAAACTGGGGAAAGGTTGTAATTTATTTTGCAGAAAACATGGAGAACACACAACATTTTTTAGAAGGGAAAAAAGGAGCCATCAGTTCTGGGTGAGGCTCCGTAAGCCCTTTGAAGGCTGTCAGCTGTAGTTTGGATGCTTGTGCTGTTCTGAAGCACTGGCTGACCCTACCTTCCTTTCTGTCAATAAACTGGTGCTTGGTTTCTTTGTACCTTCACACGAACACATGCGTATCCGCAGCTGAACTTTCCACTGCTGCCAGCAGTTGTTTTGGAACACCAAGGGGATTCCAAATGCAGAAATTTAGACTCAATTAGTTAAATACTTGCTGTCAGGCCTTGTTCCTTCTGCTGCTGCATGGAGCAATGAACTACTGACAAACTATTGGAGTCCGCAGTACAGCAATTTATGTGCAATGCTAAGTTTTGGATACTGTTCAGAGGATGACCTTTCGTTTGTTTCAGGAGAGGCATGAAAGTTTTTCCCTTTCTTTCCATAGCAGAAAGAGACAAAAATGACTTGCAGTATTGTGTTCTAGCAGTCTCTCTTCGAACTGCACAACTGGGCCTCTGATAATGGTAAGAAAGTCTTGTTTCTAATCATGACACAATATTTCATTACATTAAATCATTACTACACGTGTTCCAAAATCCTCTGGTCCTCCTGTTTGTAAAGCTTTGTACATTTGTCAGCACCGTTAAGACACGAGGTTACACAAGGGACAGCTGTTGCTGGAAGATGTATGTTAGGCTTTCATAGCTATTGAATTTGCATAGAAAAACATTGGAATTTAGCTGAGATGTTTTGGAAGCAATGCCAGAAAACAAAGTTATCTTGAAGCGCTTTTTTTCCCCCCATTTTCCTAAACTTCTAGAAGTATTAATCTCTTTTCTTCAGATTTCTAATCTCCAGTTACACACTGGTTTTATGTTCTGTTTTATCCTGGTGTCTTTTAACCAAATCCTTGCCAGTCCTGTAGTTTTTAATGACACTCAAAAATACTTATTGTTTACGAGGAAAGATTAAGCCCTTGTTCTGAAATGTTCAAGAGCACATTTTCAAAGGTGCATAAGCATCCAAGAACATTTTATGGGATTTCACCTGCTTGGGGGGGTGCCTAGCTGCATCCTTCAGTGACCATGTGCTTTTGAAAATGTTTCTTGCCTAATCATGGATAGACTGGGAAAACATGCAATAACATAACTTGCAATGAAAACAGAGAATATCAGAACAAAAAGGAGAGGCAAGTACAATTGTGTCATTCTTTGATGTGGGCATGAATATTTCTTTGTCTTTCTGAACCATGGAAGTGTTGTTTAATTGATTTATTTGTTTGGAATTTCCTGAGAATTATTGTAGTAATGTTTCTGCTTTTTCTTAGGAAATTTGGAATGAGGTGAGAGTGCTCAAAACTGAGCTTTTGGAGATAATAACTCAGCATAAATACTAGCACAGAGAGATAGAAAACAGATCAGCTGCAAAGGAATATTCAACAACAATGGCATGAGCAACAGAAGAGTCAAGGAGAGTAAAAAACGAAGTGTCATAAAAAAACTTTATCTGTGGAGTGTTGATTGGAATGGATACACCAGTGGGTATACAGGAAAGGTATTAAAATTGGTTAAATATGACCTGCTGAATGAGTGTGGAGATGGAAGCTTTCTGCTGAGAGCCAGTTTGGTCCTGGGCCCACTTGTGCCATATGGGAAAGAAAACCATAATAAACTGAAATTGTTTATCTTCCTCCAGAAGCATTTCACATAATAACATGATGCTATTAACTGCATTCATGCTTTTAACTACAAACACCCAACTGAAACTTCCAGTACTATTTTGCCTAAACTGTAGACTAGACAGTCTCAGCTCTGTAAAGTCAATCTCAATCTGTGTCTTAAATTTAATCAATGACTAGACACCGTTGTTACTCCATCTGAATAGATCTCAGTATTGTTCCTAACAGCCTCTCCATCTTATTTTCTGAGGTTTTTAGGTCTTCTCATCTCAAGCTTTATC